ATTTTCCCGCCAAAAATTTTCCCGCCAAAAAAATTTCGCAAAAAAAATTGCGGAATCACTTTTCCCGCAAAAAAATTTTTTGGCGGGAAAATTTTTTGGCGGGAAAAATTTTTACGGGAAAATTTTACAAGGTTTTTTAAAGGTTTTTACAAGTGTTTTGGCGAGAAAATTGTGGGATCACTTTTCCCGCCAAAAAATATTTTGTATTTTGTGGACCTAATTTTGTTTCAAATAAGGGTAAAATAGTCATTAAAAATTAAAAGAGGGCAAACTTAAAAATGGACTCTCAAAGGGGGCATTTTTGAAAAGGGGTATTGAAAAAGGGGCATTTTTAACAATTTCTCTTTTTTCTATAATACTCAATTGTGGATAATTTTTTTTTAAGATATGAAAAAGAAAAATAATTTTATTTTTTAAAAAGTAATATTTTTTGAACAATGAGTTAATTTATGTTAACAACCACAAAATAGGATTGCATATATTTCAGTTAGATCAAAAATTAAAAAATCATAAATGAATCGCATATAAAACATAGATTATTTTGAATTAATTAAGAAAATTAGCTATTATTTTGAATTAATTTAGAAAATTCTTTTTCAATTTATAATTCTTTGGTTGTTGAAGTAGCGATTTGTTTGAGTTAATCTAATTACAAAATTTGTTTGAGATTTATAATTACGGAATATAACAATTATTCGCATAATCGAATATGTTATAAATATATATTTAGTATATAATAATACCAAAATCAACATGTGCGTTTAGTCTATATTTTTAGAGAAATTGTTAAAAATGCCCCTTTTTTAATACCCGTTTTCAAAAATGCCCATTTTGAGAGTCCATTTTTAAGTTTGCCCTCTTTTAAATTTTAATGACCATTTTACCCTTATTTGAAACAAAATTAGGTCCACAAAATACAAAATATTTTTTGGCGGGAAAAGTGATCCCGCAATTTTCCCGCCAAAACACTTGTAAAAACCTTTAAAATACCTTGTAAAATTTTCTTGTAAAAATTTTTCCCGCAAAAAAAAAAGTGATTCCGCAATTTTTTTGGCAGGAAAATTTTTGGCGGAAAAAATTGACAAGGTATTTTAAAGGTTTTACGGAGTATTTAAAAGTGTTTTGTAAGGTTTAACAATGTATTTTAAAAGGTTTTACAAGGTACTTATAAGGTTTTATAAGGTATATATAACTCGTAAAACCTTATAAAAAACTTGTAAAACCTTATAACTTGTAAAACCTTATAAAATAGCTTGTAAAATCTTATAATATCTTATAAATACTTTATAAATACGTTGTAAAACCTTTTAAAATACATTGTAAAACCTTATAAATACCCTGTAAAAAACCTTTAAAACACCTTGTAAATTTTTCCCGCCAAAAAATTTGCAAAATCACTTTTCCCGCAAAAAAAATTTTTGCGGGAAAAAAATTTTACGGGAAAATTTTACAAGGTGTTTTAAAGGTTTTTTACAGGGTATTTATAAGGTTTTACAATGTATTTTAAAGGTTTTACAAATTTTTACAAGTGTTTTGGCGGAAAAAATTGCGGGATCACTTTTCCCGCCAAAAAATATTTTGTATTTTGTGGACCTAATTTTGTTATATTTCCTTATATATTTATGATATCTTTTATTAAAAGAAGGGTAATTTAGTCATTTTGTACATAAAAAGGGGTATTTTTAAAAATGGACATCCAAAGGGGGCATTTTTGAAAAGGGGTATTGAA